GGGCATCTAAACAACGCATGTACCGGCTGTATGACCCACACCCCCAATTGGGAGCCTGGTGACGGTCGTCGTGCGGTGAAAAGGTGGGGATCAATCATGGCGCGTGTCTTCGGTAGTTGTTGGGTTCGGCGGCGATTTCGGTTGCTGCTATGTGATTCGACGACGATGACCGATTAATGCCTTGCTAGTTGTTGGGTTCGGCGGTGATTAAATTTGCTGCTATGTACAACCCGATTTGATTGGCGAGGAGGCACCGCAACAACGCACGTACCGGTTGTATGACCCACGCCCCCAATTGGGAGCCTGGTGATGGTCTTCGTGCGGTGAAAAGGTGAGGATCAATCATGGCGTGTGTCTTCGGTAGTTGTTGGGTTCGGCGGCGATTTCGGTTGCTGCTATGTGATCCGACGACGATGACCGATTAATGCCTTGCTAGTTGTTGGGTTCGGCGGTGATTAAATTTGCTGCTATGTACAACCCGATTTGATTGGCGAGGAGGCACCGCAACAACGCACGTACCGGCTGTATGACCCACACCCCCAATTGGGAGCCTGGTGATGGTCGTCGTGCGGTGAAAAGGTGGGGATCAATCATGGCGCGTGTCTTCTGTAGTTGTTGGGTTCGGCGACGATTTCGGTTGCTGCTATGTGATTCGACGATGATGACCGATTAATGCCTTGCTAGTTGTTGGGTTCGGCGGTGATTAAATATGCTGCTATGTACAACCCAATTTGATTGGCGAGGAGCCACCGCAACAACGCATGTATCGGCTGTATGACCCACGCCCCCAATTGGGAGCCTGGTGATGGTCGTCGTTCGGTGACAACCTTATGAATTGACGGACGCGAGCCAATTGTTGGGTGTTGGTGGTGATCGGGCGAGATGATGTAATGTCGGAGTGCCTACTAGGCTTACACTCTTGTCCGGTTGTCACTACCCCGATGAGAGACAGAGGGCACCATCCAGTGTATGTACCGGCTGTATGACCCACGCCCCCAATTGGGAGCCTGGTGATGGTCGTCGTGCGGCGAGAAGCTTATGAATTGATGGACGCGAGCCAATTGTTGGGTGTTGGTGGTGATCGGGCGAGATGATGTAATGTCGGAGTGCCTACTAGGCTTACACTCTTGTCCGGTTGTCGCTTCCCCGATAAGAGGCAGAGGGTAGAAGCTTATGAATTGACGGATGTTCTGCGTGCTTAGCGGGGCATGTTTGAGTGCGTCGGGTGTTGGTCGCTGCTATGCTGCGATTAATGCCTGCGTACTTGGGCACAACGTACGTGTGGGCGCGTGAGAGGCATATGTTTTGTGCGTGCTTGTCGGTTCCCTGCTTGTGCAGCAACGACTTGTCACCCAAACTACTTCAGTTGTCCCAAACGGTTGTCCCAAACGGTTGTTGTCCCGAACGGTTGTTGGTTGCGCTGCGGCGATGGTTGTGCCGAATACCCAAGGGGTATGGCAAAAATGTCGGTTAACAGGTTGCGGACTCCGCCCTGTGCCAACCCTTTCGGGGGTGAAGCACGAGGTGGACGTCGAAGCTCGTGTTGTGTGCCAACATTGTTGCAATAGCATCCAGTGTTGGTCCATGGCGCGTTGCTTGATCTCTTGGATACGGAAAGCCCATTGGGCTAGGTTGCCTGACCCTCGGTTGTCCCAAAGTTATGCGTTTTACGTTTGTCCTGAATTACAACCGCGCTCGTCTTGTGCGGGGCACTGGCCTCGCTCATGCGGTGCCGGCGTTGGTGAGGAATGCTACCTGGTTGATCCTGCCAGTAGTCATATGCTTGTCTCAAAGATTAAGCCATGCATGTGTAAGTATTAACTAATTCAGACGGTGAAACTGCGAATGGCTCATTAAATCAGTTATAGTTTGTTTGATGGTACCTACTACTCGGATAACCGTAGTAATTCTAGAGCTAATACGTGCAACAAATCCCGACCTCTGGAAGGGATGCATTTCTTAGATAAAAGGTCAACACGGGTGATATGGGATATTGTATACTAGACCGGTTTGCCGGGGCAACCGGAGAAAATAGGTCGGACCGCCAGATTACCTGAGTAAGGAAAGATCGAGTGACCTGGTCGAGCAAGACCAGGTGCTAGCAATAAAGGAGCAGAGAGCAGACAGCAGAGATCGGACGTGGTCGACAGATACGAACCATCGTGAGTGGTCAGAGAGGGCGTGGTCGCAGAGGATTGGTCGAATATCAGAGTACACAAGGGAATCTCCAACACGTGAAAAGAAGGACGCGCGGCGCACTGTGAGTGGCTACATAGCTGCAACGGACTCTGACATTCTCTGACAAAGAGGACGCGTCTCCTGACACCAAAGATAGTGGAGGCGCGCGGCTGTACGGACGAGCAGAAGACAGTTGGCCGAACTCGCCTTGCTCGCGCGTGCAGCTCAGGTAACTCGCCCCAATAAATAAGGGCGAGAATCCTCATTTTCGGTACAATCACACATACTCTTATTCTAACACCCCTCCTTATCGTTAAATCAGAGTGCGAAAAATTCGCAAAGTTATTTAAAAATAAAGCCTTTTTACTTTGCGAAAACTGATTCGGGGTGCTACCTTAAAATCATGACTTAATTTGGAAAACCGTTATTTTAATTTTTTAATACAATCACACTGATACTGAAACATAAAGTTTTCCAAAAGTCCGGTCAAAATGTAAGTTCGTCAAAAGTCATCAAAACATCATTAGCGGAAGCGTAAATCATCATCATAAATATATATAGTCAAAAACATAAATATCTTGAAGCCTCCGTCACGTCACGCTCCCGGCCCGACATCCTGACCTGAAAAACATGATAAAAGTGGGAAATGAGCACTATGGCACTGTGCTCCATGGAAACTCATACTAATGTAAACATTGAAAATAATAACAACATCATGATATCAGTATA